CTATTTTTAGCAGAATCGATGTAGACTATGATTTCTTATGAGTATCCTTCTATTTGTGTCATATAAATACAACAGTTTAACAATAAACTCTAAACATAAATTTTACGTTACCGTGTCCGATAAAAGATTGCACTAAAATAGAACTAGAATAAAAACAGAAAATTATTACTGTTTATGACACTAAAAACTGTCCTATTTGGCTCTAACAAGGACAAACTTCCTTCACTTTCTCACAGTAATCTTATATCTGAAATAACTTGCCTGCTGGTAAAACCTACATCGGCATGACACAAAGATGCCTGTCTGTGCGGCTCAGAGAACATGCAACCAGACTATCTTCTAGTGCAGTTGGCCAGCATTTCTCTTAGTGCGAAAAGCTCAATTCATGGCGACTCTACAAAACCAGTTCTCACAACTCAATGATATCCCTCCACCTCCCAGAACTCCCACTCCAATAGAAAACCTTGTATTCAACAACTATAAAATACTTCACTCAACCAAATCTAGCAACTACCACATTCTTGCTTTTCTTGAAGCACTACTCATTAACCATAACAAATCTTTTCTCAACATGGGACTTAAGGCTAGCAAAAATTACAACTCTTTTCTTAATTTATAACACACTCATTCTACCAGTGGGGTCGGTTTCAATTCATCCTTTTGTAATACAACACCTCTTCCAACTCATTGTAAATATCACACTATTTAATTTCTATTGCTTATTTCCGTTTACTTGTTTCATGCGTTGTAAATATATGTGTATGTATGGTTTTAAATATCATTCTGTCTGAGGATGACTTTGAAATAAAGTCGAAAATTTACAGTTTACTTCTTGTCTTGTTTTGATTCATATTTTGCAATCTCAAGATGTCTTGCTTCTTCGGAATTTGTTTTATATTATACTTCTTTAAATTGTTGGCTGGTCATGGTTTTTAAACTAGAAGAGATAATGTGCATCTATCTACAACTACTAAAGGGTGGGTTCACAAGATTTTCAGCAACAGAATTCAGATCTTTGAGTTTGAAGGACAAATTTTGGTATCCTGCTTCTATCATGTGGTCGATCATTTTCTAATCTTGTAGTAGTTGAGAAAGAGCAGTTAGGCAGTCAATTTCTAAGAGCTGAAACAAATATTTATTGGTAGTAATGAAACTTAGAGAAAAAAGAGCAATTGCATCAAAGCATTTTTTCTCAAGTAGAAAGTCTCCATTAAGCCTGCAACATATACAACACCTTTGCGATAATATCTCTATGCTGTACATAAGGTACTTAATCAATACATGGCTTTGTATTCTCTTAGCCTTTGGTGATGTAATCACATATAGCAGGTGAGAGAACTGCTGGCGGATCTGCGGAAAAAATCAAGAAAATAGCACATGCCCGTCCTGCCATATAATATTCTGGGTACTCAATTTACTTGCATTATGTATCAATACGTATGAGCCCAAAATTGCTGTGGTTTGAAAACACCTGAAGTCTCAACCATATCATTTCTTAGCAACCTCAAAACTCTCGTCTTGGTCCTTTGTCATCAACTGTTAGCATGCTATCAGTAAATTTGACCTGTGATAATAGTAAACACTTACAGTCTTCTCTGTGATATTGATAGAAACTGCACATGACTGTCCTTACCTCAAAGTCCATAGTATCATCCACCTTCTGACAGGTCATCTCTCTAAGAAAGCTCTTCCAGGGCATACTTCTTCGATAACCAACAAAACTGATGATGATAAAGAAACAATTGAACTTATGTGATTTGTCAATAAGGTTGCAAGATCTTCATCCTCATTACTCTCAACAAAACCTTCCCTAAATATAAAAGAAAATAATTTGATTGTGAAAGACAGAGATATCATAAAAATTCTTCACTTCCTAAGTAATAAAAAATAAACATTATATAACCATCAAGAAGAAGCAATATTATGTTATTCTTTTTTGTAAAGTTAGCTATGAAACAGTTTGGGATCTTATAGACAGTGCTTGTGTACATATTTTGCAAGGTCAGTTTCTTTTATGATTTTTCCATTTCAATAAGGCCACTGGCTTTCTTTTTTTTTGTACCATAAAACACTACTTAAAGAACTATTATTTTTGCTACATATATGGCACAAGTAATAATAATGTATAATAACTGAAGACAGATGAAAGTCGATTCATCATAAAATATATCATAGCGAACAGATGTGCTATATGCAATCAACCTGTAAATTAAATAAATTCTTATGCACAAGTTGAGATTGACAGTCACTATGAACAAAACATATAAAATTAACTTGTAAATAAATATATCGCAAAGAACATCTTTACCTTTCTAAGATAACTACAGCTATTTCTTCATGATTACTATCAGCATCACTTTCATCAATTGAAATCCATGGGCTATAAAAATAGATATAATAATTTTAATTATCACCAAAATTTATGCAGAATATGTCATACTAGTAAAAACTATAGCTTTGATCACATTTACCTGTATTTAGTTGAGGTATCTTTGGTACTGGCTACTTCTTCAACAGTGGAACCTTTTTCATTAATTAAAAAATGACAAAACTATTAGAAATACAGACAGTATCCAAATTACTTGCATTATTTCAGCATGACATAAAGTTGGCATTAATACAGAGTGTAAATTATCTATTATTTAGCATTGCGCCTAAAACATAATTTTTGCTTCAGCTACCTACATTGATTAACATTGGGTTCACCAATATCATCTGAATCAAGGAGTAGATCTTTTTGACAATCTAAGTCATCTAGCCATGATACAGGTGGCAACTAATCAATTTCATCATATGATTGACTGCTGATCTCCTTGTCACTACTGATATTGGTAAAGTCATTAGCATATGGTATGAGGTACAGGTATATACGAGAGTATCCAAATCCTGACATTACTTTATATTTCTGCAATGTAAATGATTTTGGAGGATCTGTACCAGGAACATGTTCAACAAAACTGCCATCCCTAAAGGCCAGTTTATGCATGACACCACAATCAAATCGCTTGTTAAAGACAGAATGTTTCTTAACAGCGCACTAAAATCTTCTGCAGTAACGGATGACCCTACTTTTAACGGTATTGATTGTCCCCGTCTCATCTTGCCGTTCTCCTCCATAACCCCAATTTGGATAACAACATCTTTATTTTCAGTTCTTCTCTTTTTATTTGCACTTCTGTTTGAGAATGAACTTTGCCTGTCCTTTTCTTTTCTGGCTTTAAAGGCGAGAACTGGGCAAAGAAAAACTTGGCGAGGTATTCCTTGACCTTGCATCATTTGAAGCATTTAAACAACTTGAAGCACTTGAACTATGAGAAGCACTTTTTCTTTCTGTCGCTGTGCCACAATCTGGACAGAAAAGGAACTTTAGTTCTAAGCTGTAACCGCAATTTGAGAAAAATTTCATTTGCAAACTGACTGAACTCACCGTATACGAAGTAGACGCCATTTTAAATTTCGTTGTTATTGTTCCCATTTGTTCCTAATTGTTCCTTAATCCCAATCGCTCCATTTTGTTTAATGTTTTCATTTTAAAACAAAATCAATTTATCCATAAATATATATCTGCGTACTACAAATATATATCTGCGCACTGAAAATATATGTCTGCGCACTGAAAAGATATATCTGCGCTGTGCACTAAAATTATATATCTGTGCACTGAAAATATATATCTGCGTACTGAAAATATATATCAGCGTACTATAATATATCTGCTCAATGAATATATATTTAATTCTCCACTAATATATATCATGAATAATGAAAACATTTCATGCAAAATACTTTGATTTCTATTTCTAATTTATATATTTGCATTGCAGCTGTGGTACCGTAGAAATGCCTAATAAACATTAATGGCATTAAGCTGTCCTTAATTGCAAATTTTCACTCTTATTATTTTTGCTTAATCTTTGGCAGAAAAAAATTTTGAGTTTCTTCTCAAAAGGTGAATTTGCTGGCACTGTATGTGGAGATAGGTAAAGGGTTACAATAAACTTGCATGGTTTGAAGTCTGAGCTTTTCTACATCTATCAACTGTCCTTGCAGTGCCGGATTAACCATATGGCAGAAGCGGCATATGCCGCAGGCTGCCTTGCCTTTGGAAAAAGAAAAAAGGAAATAAAACGAAACGGCCAAGACTAATTGAAATATAAAAGCGTGAGGCCCAATTCCAAAAACGGTAACACTGCAAGTATCACTGGCAAAATATAGGCTATATTTTGCAATGGGATAGGAGATCCATTTGTATCGTCATATTACATGTTGCAGTTTCCGTTAATTTAGCTACACCTATTATATTACATAAAGTTTTTCGTCTGGCAGTAGGATTGCAACTCGATATTGTTGTAGTCTCGACTTTCAAACCGTATTGAATACTATCAGACTTTTTTCGATTCATTTTGATAATTTTTGAGATTGCTGTTGTTTGTGACTTGTAAGTGTTGTTGACAAATTCAAACTGGAGATATTCAAGGTATTTGGCTGAATGCTGAAGCAGTGACGGCGACGCTTGGTAAGTTTTGATGATTTACTAACTGCCGTGAGCCGTCTGCATTCTTACGTTTCCTTGGTTACATGTTTATTCCTCATATATAATTGCCGATTTATATGAAATAACAATATATTTCAAAATGTCCTGAATTCCTGGCAGCTCCAAAGGCCCAAGAAGCGTATGCGTGTTTGATTTATTTTCTCACAATTCTGTATGTGCGATAGTAAACCATCAAATCGTCCTTCTATGTTTTGTGAAAGTAAATATTACTAAAACGTCACTTTCAAATTTTTAGGTTTGCTAATTGCTATAATATAGTTAACAATTAAAGAATGAGTTCCACCAGTGGGGTGGCAACGCGACCGCGACAAAATCGCAAATATGCATCTGGAGCAGCAAAACGAAAGGCAAAGGATGAACGAATTTTACGGGAAAGTAAAGTTTTAAGTAAAATGCCGAAAATATCGGAACTGTTTCCTCCGAGGCTGATGAAGCGATGACAACAATGGCAGAAGCAGTTGAGGAACCCGACACCGGCGACACATCCAAGGAGTTGACATCTGGTGATACGTCCATTTCCACTGATAACAATGATGGATACTCTTGTGATTTGGGATTATGGCCTACTGATATTTCTGACAATATGAGAGAGCACTGGGCAGGTCAAGGGAGTAGTCAGTGCAGAAATTCCGATGCCGATTTCAGCGCAACATCAACAAGATATGAGGGAGATGCTTACAATAGACGATGTCAAAAAACTTTGTTCACGTACACACATGAGCTTACAAAACAGCAACATCCTCGAAACTGGCTCTGCTATTCACCATCCAAACATGTCGTGTTCTGTTTTGCGTGTAAACTCATGACTGACAGCATCGTTTTTGGAAAACAAGGTTATAATGACTGGAAACGCGCATCCCAGTCAATTCCACGACATGAGAAAAGTTCAGCGCACCGTAATGCTGTTTTTCAGCTACTCCAACGTAGCGATGCTGGCTGCCGTATTGATTCAGAACTGGTCACACAGGCCAGTGATGAGCGTAACTATTGGCGGGCAGTACTTGAGCGGGTAACAGAAACCATCCGTTACCTTTCCGAGCGAAGTTTACTATTTCGCGGCACTGATGAGATCGTTGGATCGCCAAAAAACGGTAACTACCTGGGAACATTAGAACTTATATCGATGTTCGATCCATTTCTAGCGCAACACATCAACCGTAATGCAAATAAGGGAAAGGGTCACACATCCTATCTCTCAAAGACCATTTGCGAGGAATTCATCCAACTGATGGCAACTCGAGTTCGCGAGCAGATTTTTTACAGAAGTTAAAGCTGCAAAGTATTTCTCCGTCTGTGTAGACTGTACCCCAGATATTTCCCACGTTGATCAACTGACATGCATTCTTCGATACGTTTTACCCTCTGGTCCTGTCGAACGATTTGTATCTTTCCTTAACATACGTGGACATAAGGCTACTAGATTATTTGAAAACCAATAATATAAATATTTCGGATTGCGCGGCCAGTCATATGACAATGCAAGCAATATGAGTGGGAAATATAATGGTATGCAGGCCATTATTCAGCAACATTGTAGCCTAGCACAGTACATACCCTGCGTTGCACATTCCCTTAATCTTGTTGGACAATCATCTGCCAGTTGTTGTCAAGAAGCATCAAGATTCTTCAACTTCCTCCAACGATTGTACTCTTTCTTTGCTGCTTCAACGCATCGTTGGAAAGTTTTAACCGACCAACTTTCAAGCAAGAGACTTCCAACGGTTAAACGTATGTCTGATACTCGATGGTCAGCACGTGCAGATGCTACAAAGCTCTAGTAATAGGATACGAGGAAATTAATGCTGCTTTAGACGAGATCCATGATGATCAAGATGAGAAGCCTGAAGCCAAAAATGAAGCCAATAGTCTTGCGTCTGATATGGCCCAGCTTGAAATTGGAATTCTGGCAGCATTATGGCATCAAATCTTGCAACGATTTCAGAGAACAAGTCAGATCCTGCAATTAGCTGATCAAGATCTCAACACTGCTGTTGCATTATATGAATCGCTGATTGAGTTTGTCCTTTCACTGCGAACCAGATTTGAAGAATTTGAAGCCAAAGGAAAGGAGCTCAGTGAATGTGATCAATATAAAGAAGAGATCAAGCGCGTGCGTAAACGAAATCGTCGTAACGACGAGCCAGGATCAGCACCTGATTTGTTGCAGATTCCAGCCGACAAGTTTCGCACAGGTACTTTCCTTGTAATAATCGATAGTCTGTATGCTGAGTTGGCGACTGGCTTACATCAACATTGCTGAAAAGTTTGGCTTTCTGCAAAAGCTTACAGATCTGCCAGCTGAAGACGTGTTGGAAAGCACAAAGATTGCAAAAGCATTTTCCACTGACCTCGAAGTCAATTTGGGTGATGAATTGCTCCAGTTTTCTAGCTTTCTCAACACAGAATTCGTGAAAGAGCATTAGATGCGAGTCATGCAGCTGCACCTCATTATTCTTCAGCTCGAATTGAATCTTCTGCTCAGCCTAGTGAAGACCATGACATCGATGTAACATCCGATGATGATGACGACATCAAAGTGAACGTAGACTCCCTAGAACTGCGTATATACAGGTTTCTTGTGGGAAATAACCTGGAAACTGTATTTCAAAACACTGTTATTGTGTTTCGCATTTACCTCAGTATGATGATATCAAATTGTTCTGGTGAACGGTCGTTCTCGAAATTAAAGCTAATAAAAGATCATCTTCGTTCAACCATGACATAGGAACGACTAAATAGCCTTGCTCTTCTGAGTATTGAAAATGATGTTCTGCGTAGTATTGATATGTCATCCCTGATTAATGATTTTGCTCTTATGAAATCCCGTAAGCATAACGTTTATAAGGCTTAACACTTCTGCACAGTAAAACCTTTTACGTCTTTTTATCGTGTTTATTATATTAGTCTGTTTAATATTGGTATGTAATGTTTGGTATCGTCGTGATTGTAAATTGGAATTATATTCAACGTATTGGTTTAAATAGGCCAAAATACGAGGTTTTATTGTTTGAGTTAAAAAAACAGTTTTTTATTGCATTTTGGTAAACACAGGGGTTGGGGCAAGGGCCCCGCACTGATATTATGCCATGGGCCCCGCAAAATGTTAATCCGGCCCTGGTCCCTTGTAGTAACAAATTTCTAACTTAACTCATTACATAGAGGTTTGAATGGGGGTCACTAGGAGGGCCTATGCCTGACAACTTGGTAGAAATTTTTAAAGGCAATATCTATTTTTGGAATAGCAGTATTAAAATAAATTTTATGTTCCTAGACATGGTAATGAGCCTAAATATTTGGCAAAACATTCAAGTATTGTTCACTTTGAAAAAAACGTAAGCAAAATGTGTTGTTTTTACATCAAAAACGATGCCCACAAAATACATTTTGTATTGCTCTAAAACGCTGAAAATGGCATTTTCAAGGCTCTGAAATTCAAAATTTCTCAGGTGAGAATGCCTTGGAACCCCCAGGTGGCGCCTCCTGCGTTTATGACTGATGTTTGAAAAATCCTAGATCCCCTGTTGGCATTATGAAAGAAATGCCAGAAAGATATTGTCACAGAATATGGAAATAAAGATATTCATATTCTATGATATCGTATTTGTTTTTGAAAAATTCTTTATAATTTACCATAGACATCAGGGGGAGGTCGAGAATATTATATAATAAAGCGATCATTTCAGTGGAAATATGTCCGTTGGCCGCCATTTTTTTGGCGACCTCGCCCCAGTACAGTTAGCTGCTCCAGTTCATTGAGTTCTATAAAAGAGAGCTTAAGCAAGCGACGTTTTCGACAACACGAACGTCAAGGCGAGTGTAGGTCTGGGTCGACGACGCGGTCGGTGGCGGGAAATCTGAACAGTTAAGCTGAATTATATTTTTCACGACAAACTTCAGCTTGATTATAGAAAATTAAGTATGTCATCCCGTCTTTTCTTATCTGCCTCAAATTGCATTTTTTCATGTCAACTCCTGTTTTCTCATCTCAATTCTACCTCATTATTTTCTTTAAGGTAAGCAACAATTTCACTTCCTGATCGACATCTCTTTCTCTGTGGTTCTTGGTCACCACTATCACTCTCCTTTTCCTTTTAGTTTGGTTTCTGACAACTTCTCCATCGCTTTCTTTCGTATATCTAGGGACTTTATTCTGTCCAGCTCATTCTTTTTCTCGTTTTCTCAATAACTCTGGAACCGCTCTTTATCTGAGGACAATTGTCTCTCTGATAGCTCTTCTAATAAAGTATCCAACTCGGTCGGCTCTGGTGATATTCCACTTGCACTCTTCCTCACGAGCTTTCTTTTTAAATTTTTCATGTAAACGGCTGTATCTGTCTCGTACAGCATGGGTTGAAACTTAAATTTTGGTTTATCTATTTTTCCAAGTTTGCAGCTACTTCTCCCAATACTTTGCTCTGGCAGTTGTTTTTCGTTTTGCTTGAAAAGGGTCAACGGCTAGTATTTCGCGACATAACAAAAAACGTCGTGTTGTTTCGACCATTCCATAGGCGATTGAATCCTTTTGAAAATGTGCAAAAATATATTTAAAATTTGCACTTCAATACATGTGATTGTTAATTATAAGTATTTAACACAAATACTTTGAGCAAACATTTTTGTATAAACTCTGCACATCTATTTAATTTTGGCAGCCTAGTATGTTGTATTTATCGAAAAACAAATGAAACACTCACTCTAATCTTGCAGACGACGTTTCTCCCATTGCTTTGTCTGTTAGCAAACACTTTATCAACAAAACCTCAGAACGCAAGTTCTGAGTCTTCGACCTGACAAGGCGAACCTCGTCATCGCAATAATTGGCAGGTTGTAGAATTACTTCCGGTTTACCTCCGTGTTGTTGAAAACGTTGTTTGCTTAAGCTCTAATGACTGGAGCACTATCTCAAACGCGGCCTTAGATATCTGATGATGCCAAAAATGTCGGTTCCGCCCTTGCCGCTGAGATTTACCGAAATTGACCGCTTTTGCAAAAATTTCACAATTTCCCACTCCCGCGGAAAATGTATGTGTGTATTTGGGATTCGGCAAACAATTTTTTGGTGAAAATCACGATAAAAACCTGCAATTCGTAACAGTGAGTCAACTGTGCTTTCCAGTTATCGGCTCCTACGAGGAAAGCTATTAACTATAAACTATGTACGAAAGAACTCTGTTGGCTGCGTTTGAACGTTTTTAAACATCGTGTCTAATGTACATGTGGACGATGTCGAGGATGTGGATGATGTGGTCTCTTTTCAAAGTAAGGAGAGTCTTAAAGCCATGTGCAGCCAACAATTTAAAAAAGATAGTAAAAAACAAATTCTGAAGAAACAAGACATCTTGAGATGAAAAAATGTGAATCAAAACAAAACGTGAAGTGAACTGTAAATTTTTGATATATTTCAAAGTCAGGATCACTTTGAAACAGAATGGTAATCCAAACCATGCATACACTTATATATTTACAATGCATGAATTAAGTAGCAAAAGTCAAGCAATAGAAATTAAATAGTGTGATATTCTAAGCGGAGTTGGAAGAGCTGTCATATTTTAAAAGGATGAATTGAAACAACAGATCAGACTGGTGGAATGAGTGTATTGTAATTTAAGAGAAGAGTTGTAATTCTTTGCTAGTCTTAAGTCCCGTGTTAACAAACTATTTCTTAATATATGTGTATGCATGGCTTGGATTATCATTCTGTCTGTGGATGACTTTGAAATAAATCGAAAATTTACAGTTCACTTGCATCTTGTTTTGACTCACATTTTACATCTCAAGATGTCGTGTTTCTTTGGAATTTGTTTTTTACTTAACTCTTAAAGAGAACTCTATAGTCGTATTTATGTCAATGTGGTAGTGTATGTTAGTGCAATCAGACTAAGTTACACAACATATTTGCAATAAAAATGTTCTTTTAATTAATTTTTAAGAAAAAAACGATACATAAGCTTTTTCTATTTCTTATAAAGATAACTAAGTGACAAAAACCAAATATTTAAAATTTATTTTCTTGAAAGGTTTATCGTACAGTTGCTGCAATTGTTCAGCCGTTTTAACTGGTAGGTTTGCTTCCCTACATTGCTTGGCAACATGGCCCATTCTTTTGCAAATGTAGCAATGTCGTCCTATTAAATATTGATAACAAAGTTGTAGTTCATAACACTTTTTATTTGTTTGTGTCATTAGCTTATTTCTGTTAACAATAATGCATGCAACTTGAAGTTTTCAACCATCTAATCAAGCTGATGTTTTATCACTAGGTCAATCAAACTTACTTCTTCTCATACGATTAAACTCTATACAAAAAAAAGTATAGTATATAATTGTCAATTACAATGGTCATGAAGGAAATGTTATTCTTTGTGGTCACAATTTTAGCATCTTCCTTCATTAAAAAAAAACAATGACAATTATCAGCCTGGCATCAAAGGCAATTAGTACATGTATACACTATACCACACCTTTAAATGAATTTTTTCTTTGACATTGCTTTTTACATAAACAAATCGTTTTTAGGTGCTGTTTGATTTGTTATGTATGATTAAATTTCAGGTTAAAAGACTCATGGTGAAAAGATTCAGGTGAAAAGATTTAGCTGAAAAGACACAGGTGAAAAGATAAAAGTATCACGAGAGAGCTGATGAGCATATATCATATATGAATGAGAACAGTATTGTATATAAAGCACTAATTATCTTCTTTATTTTTTTGATTTTCAGCATTGGAGCCACCTCAAATAGTAGTAGATTTTTAGCACATTTTGATGCATTGATGTATTGTGTAACAATGCAAAAAAACAATCATTAAACAGTATAACCATTTTTGGAAAAATACACACTTGCATTTTGGTTATCTTTCTCTTCAGTTCCCTGACCTGTTTTGAATGCAATTGAACTATTTGAGTGATTTTCAGTTTTCAAAACAAAAACAAATTTATACACATTTGATACCAGTGTCCATTGCTTTTTCCTCGTCTGTATAATCCAGCATCTGGTGTTTTTGTATGAAAAAAAAACGATAAACTGTAAATAGATATTTTGCAATAAGGGATTTAAACCATGTAAATGAATCACTTTTTATTTACTTCCATGCTGAAAGCTTCATATAAAGCTTTTCAGATCAGAAATCATTAAATTATTGATCTGTACTAACCTCTTTTTCATCCATGGACCACAATAGAAAGTTGGCAAATACAATAAAACAAGAAATAAGCAAAGGAAAATTCAGACAGGTTTTGAAAATATTTATAGTTTTTCAAAAAAAGCAGGAAAAATGCAAATGACAAGCGCCAATGCTGTAATTTGTAAAGATGATTCCCATGATAATATACATGTAAAATATGCTTGGAAATCATTAAGTGAAAGTTTCACTCAACAACTTCATCATTGCAAGATGTGTGGATGAACCACCACCGTTAAATTTCCAACTTTAACACCAACATCATGTAACTGCATCAAACACTCCTTGGTAAGATTTGCTTTTACTTCTGCAGTGAGGCCATCTACCAAGAAGTAACCAATTGGTACTTTCCAAGATGAATCTAGAGCAACAGCCATGTATACTAAAACTTCTGCTGCTTTAGGGTGAGTCATCATCAATCCCAGTACCAAGGTCAACATAACCACAAACTTTTTGACCATCCCAATCTATGTGTTTGCTGATTGACATTTCATCCAGCATCAATGCACATATGACTTCCTGCCATCTTTCTTTGCTTCTTGAACC